TCCCCGTGCACGACGGTGCATTTTTGTTGGGTATCCTTATGGCCAGAAGGGTTACCGCTTGTTTGACCTTACACTTAACAAGTTTTTTGTGTCACGGGATGTCCTCTTTTTCGAAGACCATTTTCCCTACAACTTACCCCACCCTTCCGCTGCTTCCCCTCCCACTCCTCCTTCCCTTCCCGTAGCACCCTACTCGCCATCCTTTGATCCAGTCCCTATATTTCCCATAGAACCTCCCATCGCTTCCTCCCCTGACATCGCTCTCCCTGTTGAGCCTACTTCCCCTTCCTTACTTTCTCCACCCCCATCCCCTCCGTCTTCCTCTCCTGCTGCACCACCGCCACCCCGGCGTGGCACACGTCCTACCAAACCATCTTCTTTCTTGCAGGATTTCCATGTTGAGACCTCTCTCCCGTCCCGACTTGCTCCTTCCTCGAATATGGTTCAGGTATCAGGTACTGCTCACCCTCTGTCTCATTACTTATCTTACAATCGCCTCTCCCCTATGCATAAGCATTTTGTTACTAACGTCACCACCATTCGAGAACCCACCACCTTCCTGCAGGCTGTCCAACATCCACAATGGCGTGATGCCATGCACCACGAACTTGCTGCTCTTCAGGAAAACCATACTTGGTCCCTTGTTCCACTTCCTCCTCACAAAAAGCCGATTGGCTGCAAATGGGTGTACAAGGTTAAGCTTAAACCTGATGGGACCATCGAGCGTTACAAAGCTCGGTTGGTTGCCAAGGGCTATAGTCAAATCGAAGGGGTCGACTATCGTGAAACCTTTGCTCCAGTTGCCAAGTTAACCACTGTCCGTGTACTCCTTAGTGTTGCTGCTGTGCGTCATTGGCATTTACATCAACTCGATGTCAACAACGCCTTCTTGCATGGCGATCTGGATGAGGAAGTGTACATGAATTTACCTCCTGGCTTTGGACGAAAGGGGGAGACTCGTGTTTGCAAGCTACACAAATCCTTATATGGTTTAAAACAAGCCTCAAGACAATGGTTCATTAAACTTTCCACTGCTCTCAAGGCTGCTGGATTTCATCAATCGTGTTCTGACTATTCATTGTTCGTCCGAAGTCAGCACGGTAACTTCATTGCTTTATTGGTATATGTTGATGATGTAATTTTAGCAGGAAATAATCTACAAGAAATTGAAGCCACGAAGCAGTCCCTTTCACAACAATTCAAATTAAAGGATTTGGGACAACTCAAGTATTTCTTGGGGTTAGAGGTTGCACGATCTACAAATGGCATCACCTTATGTCAACGCAAATATGCATTGGATATCTTAGATGATGCGGGATTTTTGGGTGCCAAACCTTCACGGTTTCCTGTAGAATCAAATGTTTCTCTTACACAGATGGAAGGAGAACTTCTTATTGATGCTTCATCATATAGAAGACTTGTGGGTAGGTTGATCTACCTAACCATAACCAGGCCGGACTTAGCTTATGCTGTGCACATGTTAAGCCAGTTTATGGACAAGCCTAGACAACCACACCTTGAGGCAGCACACAAAGTTCTCAGATACATCAAGAGTTCACCGGGACAAGGTATATTGCTGCCATCCAAGGGATCCTTGCAGTTAAGTGCATTCTGTGACGCTGATTGGGCCAGGTGCAAGGACACAAGAAGATCAATAACAGGTTATTACATTCAACTGGGTCAAGCACCGATATCCTGGAAAACAAAGAAGCAAACTACTGTCTCTCGTTCCAGTGCTGAAGCCGAGTACCGTTCCATGGCAGCCACATGTTGTGAGATCACGTGGTTAAAGAACATTTTGAGAGATTTAAAGGTGAGTCATTCACAACCAGTCATGTTATTCTGTGATAACCAAGCAGCCATATACATTGCTTCAAACCCGGTATTTCATGAAAGGACAAAGCACATAGAGATTGATTGTCATTTGGTAAGAGAGAAGATTCAAGAAGGAATGATTCGTACGGCATACATACGAACAAGTGAGCAACCAGCAGACATCTTCACCAAACCGTTGAATTCTACACAGTTTGAAACATTGCTCAGCAAGTTGGGTGTTATTAACATACACTCCAACTTGAGGGGGAGTGTTAAAGAAGATATCTTGGATTAGTATAGTGAATCTTGTAAATCTGTACTTAGCCTTTACTTACCTGATAAGGTTTGACTTCCTTGTTTCTAGGCATTAGTTTAGGATTAGGGTTGTGTCTTTCGTATATATATTGTAACCCTAGCCTTCGGCATTATTATGAAAAGCATTCTGCAATATCACGTTTTCTTATAAATGCTAAGAATCCCAAACTAAATTGAACTATTTTGCTTGCTTTGATATAGTTTGAGTCACATTTATCTCGTACAAGAAAAGTGTCAAGATAATTCATTATTAAAGGATAATTATCATGATTAAAAATCATAATATTATCCTCTAATAACAACAAAATTATTGTAACTTTCTTATCCGACGATTAAGAATCATCCTTACTCAACAGCCTCGATCGCTTGGGCCGATGGTGTAAAATCAAGTCCAAACAAGGCCATATGACAAGATGGAATCCAGCTACAATCTTGTTAGATAAAAAATCTATTTGTTGATGTAATTAAACTCCAAGATAACTACTCTGATGGATAATATCTGGATATCTTTAATCAGAATAATTATCGTGAAATTTAATAAAAACATCTTTATCCTAGGAACGGTTCAAATATTTTGTCCATCCAATGCCGAACCGATTATGTACAATCGGGCCCAAACAGTACCTCCTAAATTTATTTCTCCTAAATGAAAGTAACAATGTCCCAAAAGGGAAGTAACCACCAAGAAACATTGACAATTTGATTTTTCGGGAATCTTATCTTCCAGCGAACGGAAAACAAGAAATTAATATAAATAGAAAACAAAAAGGTTGTACAGCAGAAATTTCATTTAAAGAAAAAAAAAAAAACTAATCTTGTAAATCAGTAAGGGAAGAAAAACAAAATATGCAAATTAGCCAGTGCTGCCAGATACATCTCCAGAAATTGCACTTCCATATGAAGCTGATCCAGTCAGTGAAGTGGTACCGCGAGCCTTCTGGATCTGCCGTATCCTGAAAGCATCTCTTGGGAGGGGGTGACTCTGGACCGTCGTTAGGTTGAGACTTAGAAGAATGATTGAGGTTTCTAAGGCAGAAGATGATTTGGTGAAAGGTGAAAGCTTAAAACTCAAGTCTATGGCTTGTTGGAAAGCTTGCAACAGTTAAGAAGGGTTTCCTGCAGCTGGGAAATGGATTTCCTGTAGCAAGCAGAATATGTTATTCTCTAAGCATGAGGTTGAAATGGCGTGTTGAGGAAGATTTGGTACTAGTAAGTTTGCAGCTCCCCCTTCCTCCCCTTTTACTCTAATCTTGGCTTCCAATTTATAATGGGTGATGGTTATCCCTATTTCCTATTGAATTGAAAGATGTGCTAGAAACAACATGTTTACAACATGTAAAACAAAGAATCGGAGCTACCTTATGTCCAACGAACAAAATAGAGCACTGGAATAGCTTCTAGCATGTAAAAGGGTATGCCGAAAACTACTTGTTTCCAGTGGGTAAATGGATGGATTGGAAACTTCTTATGTTCTATGAATTAATAGGGTTTAGGGTGAGACGAGTTGCAGCATGAATAGGTTCACGGGAAACATTATCTTGGCGCAAGTATATTATCGAAGAGTTTCCATGGGTTTCCATGGGCCTTGTGGACCTCCGTAACCTTCCAACCTCAACCACTATAGCAACCCCTCGTGAGATAACATGCCTTGGGTCATGTGAGCTTGATAGGTGTCGTGTTTAAACGAATGTGTTTAGCATTACGTGATATATTTCCTTGTTTGGCATGACATGAAATTAATTGAAACTTGTGTAAAACCTTGCTTAACTATTAACTTCTCTGATAATTTTGTATAATATAATCGAGATTCATATAAGGTAATAAGATCATACAGAGTAATGGACACTTAACGTGCATAGGGCCTTCACGTGCAATTTTTGGACCCAACAGGAACCAAAAAGAGTCTTCAAGGGTAATCATCTCATACTCTACTCTTTAACTTCGTTTGGAATAAATTTGGTTCTTCAACCCTTAGGCCTTCAAGATTTTGAGAAAATTATTTAGTTTGAATGTATGCATACCTAGCCTTCACGTCTAATTGTCTTTAACCATGATTTATTCAATGAATCCTCTAGTTTTAACAGAAGTTTTCCTTCACAAGGACGTTTATTTATTTTATATACGGAGCCTTTGATTTGGCATCTTAGACAACCTCACTACCATCCTTAAAACCGTGTTTTGCTGTCCTTCCCTTGAGAAATTTGTGTGTCTAGTCTTATGTTTGCAGATGGTCATGTTTTTTAATTTTATTCCAATGACATGTTAAATAGAAATAAGTGGTCCTAGTCATGCCACATTAGTCAACTTAACAAATTTTTTGACAAATTTGACGGAATGTGTGAAAGTGATACAAAAATTGAGTTTCAGATGGCAAAGTGGCACAATTTTAGTTTCAAGGGCTAAGCAAAGATATTATTTTATTTATTGGGTAACAAAGCTAAGCAAAGAGCAGGCGATCAACATTGTTTCTGATGTGCGATTAAAAATAGGTAGGAAAGAAAAGGTATTGGTTGAGAGTCGTCCGTGGAATACTATATACCACCGGCGGCAAGTTGACTTGAAGCAGATTGGATTTAGAATATAATCTTTTACTTTTGTTTTGTCTAATAATTGGGGTTGGGGAGGGCCTGCCGGTAGAAACATTTCTAATAGCAAATAGCATATGATACAACATAATGTTAAACGGGAAACGCCAAATCATTACCCAACACAATAAATTAGCTAACAAAGAAAGGAGTGGACGAGCCGGCAGAAAAGAGCACTCGGGGTCGGTCAGGTCGGGTCTCCCTCCAAGTCCTAGCTGGGCTCCTTACAAGTATTTAAGACAAAGCAATCAGGTCTCCCTCCTCAAATTTCTCGCCTCCTACAGTACCAGTACCAGTACCACCATGCAGATTCTCATCGTCATCCTGTTGATGGGCTTGCTCCTGGCCTCTGCGGCGCCATTCTCGTCCTCCCAATCTGATTCCGGAGTCAATGTGTGGCCAAAGCCGAGAAACTTTTCTTGGCCTCAGCCGCAGGCCCACCTCCTCTCCCCTAACTTCGCCATCACTTCTCCTGCCAACCACAAATACCTGTCATCCGCCGTCAAACGCTACCACCAGCTTCTTCTAAGCGAGCATCACCGCCCCCTCGTAAACCCCTCCTCCTCCGTCCGCATCAACACCTCCGCCCCACCCTTGCTCACCCTCTCCCTCACCGTTGCTGACCTCGCCGCCCCACTTCACCACTGGCGTCGACGAGTCCTACACACTCACCATCCCCATCACCGGTGGAGCCGCCAATCTGTGGGCCCAGACGGCGTGGGGCGCCATGAGGGGCCTGGAGACGTTATCGCAGCTGGTGTGGGGCGATCCGTCGCTTGTGGCGGTGGGAGTCTACGTTTGGGACTCCCCGCTGTTTGGGCACAGAGGGGTGATGCTGGACACCTCCAGGAACTTCTACGGAGTGGAGGACATACTGAGGACCATCGAGGCCATGAGCGCCAACAAGCTCAATGTGTTCCACTGGCACATCACCGACTCCCATTCTTTCCCACTGCTGCTGCCTTCCGAGCCTGACTTGGCCTCCAAGGGGTCTTATGGCTCCGCTATGCAATACTCTCCCGCTGATGTCACCAAGATTGTCGAGTTCGGCTTGGAGCATGCCGTCAGGGTTGTCCCCGAAATCGATGCACCTGGTCAGTCACCCTACTCACTCGCTTACTTACCAATAGCTATTAGGTAGCTAGCTGTTTGATAAAATGCCACAGAGAGGCACTTGACAGCATTTATAAAGCATTACTCTTATCTTTAAAAAGCAATTTGGCCGTTGTTTGAGTTAAAAACTCTCAAGTAACTTACGGATTCATTAGAGAAATTGTGTCTGTCAAGTTGGGACTTGTTATGACTGTTAGAAAACGTACAAATGCAACCTTAATTCTGGCTTTATTTGGAATGCGAGAGTTCAAATTTAGAAATTTCAGGTTATGTTGGTAAATTATTTTGATATGCTAGTAATTGCACATAATAAAACCTTGTATTCTGCTTTTTCTAAAGGGATTTCAAATGGCATGCTACTAGCCTGCACTCTCTCCTGTTTTGGTTAGCAGCAAGAAACCCAAAAGACATCAGCCTAGTTTATTCCTGTCTTTGTTAGCAGCCACATGCTGATAAAGTTTGAAAGAACCTAAAGGATATCAGCCTATTTTGTTCCTGTTTTCAATCTCATCTCTCTCATTTACATGGCTGGCTTGTTCTCCTTCCTAATCTACATAACCTTCCACATTCTTCTGGGTTTAGGGTAACAATCAAAATATGAAGAAAGAAACTAAGCGTTGCCGTTGTGAATAATTTGAGGAATCTAAGAGCCAGAGAAGATATAAGAATATAACAGTGAAGGGCATGTACTTTGGCCATTATTTCAGAGGCATATAGTGGGGGCTTAATGTCGTAGTTAAGAGCAGTTGCCCTTTATATCTGAGGTCCTGTGTTCTAATCTTCCCCATCCCAATATTTGTTTGATAAAAAAGAAATTACATCGGTAAAGAAACACGCCTTGTTCTTCCATGATACAAAATCACAAGACGAGATGTACAGAACAGAAAATGAATATTGGAACTAGAATGCTTTTAGGTTTTGATCTAGAAAAATGGAAAGAAAAAAAAAAAAAAAACAAATTGTGGGCGTGAGATCCACAAAATATTTTGGTTGTTAAAACAAAAATAGCACTTTCTAATACAAACAGAAATTTCAAGAAAGCAAATCCACTTTCAGGTAAATTTAGTTGCCAAAATGTTATGCGTTCACATGGAGAGGTATTTGGATGATGAGAATTACAAAAGTGTGGTGAAATTTTCCTTTTTGTATATGTCGAAAATTATAACGAGGACTTAATTAGAAAGGAGCATATGTGGTGGAGAGGTGCGGATGGAAAGTTGCTTGGGCTAGCAATGAGGATGGGGGAGTGTCAGCCATAGTTGCTTGTTTCACTGCAGTCTGCAGCTGGAAATACTCTTTACTCTATTTCATTACATGCTTGCTGCATGCTAGATGACCCTAGCTCCTTATTCATTTTCATAATACATTCTTATTCCTAATCTGAATCATGGTAGTGTAATCAAACATTTTTTTCATTCTTTTTTTTATTTTTTTAATGTGTGCAGGCCATACGGGATCATGGGCTGAAGCCTACCCCGAAATCGTGACATGTGCAAATATGTTCTGGTGGCCAGATGGAGTCGATTGGGCTGACCGGCTTGCATCTGAACCCGGAACAGGTCATTTGAATCCATTGAACCCCAAGACCTATCAAGTCCTTAAAAATGTCATCCATGATGTATCAACGCTATTTCCTGAACCTTTTTTCCATGCTGGAGCTGATGAGATCATACCTGGCTGTTGGAAAGCTGATCCAACCATTCAATCATTCCTGTCCAAGGGTGGAACGCTCAGTGAGCTTCTTGACCTTTTTGTCAACTCCACTTTCCCTTACATTGTATCTCTTAATAGGACGGTGGTTTATTGGGAAGACGTTTTGCTGGATGATAATGTCAAGGTGCAAGCAACTATTCTTCCCCCAGAGCATACCATCTTACAAACATGGAACAATGGCCACAACAATACTAAACGAATTGTGTCTTCTGGATACCGCGTTATTGTGTCATCCTCAGAATTCTATTACTTGGATTGTGGTCATGGTGACTTTCTCGGGAACGACAGCCTGTATGATCAACAAACAGGCAGTGACACTGGAAATGGGGGTTCCTGGTGTGGACCTTTCAAAACATGGCAGACCATATATAACTACGATATAACATACGGGTTGACTGAGGACGAGGCCAAATTGGTGCTAGGTGGAGAGGTGGCGTTGTGGTCTGAGCAAGCTGACCCAACTGTTTTGGACGCACGAATTTGGCCGCGCACTTCAGCATTGGCAGAGTCATTATGGTCAGGGAACAGGGACGCAATGGGCATGAAGAGGTATGCAGAGGCAACTGATCGGTTAAATGAATGGAGGAGCAGAATTGTGGCTAGAGGTGTTAGGGCTGAACCCATTCAACCACTTTGGTGTATTCGGAACCCAGGGATGTGCAACACGGTTAATTCATTTGGTTAAAATGGTCTTAATTTATGTATTAATAACATTTGAATCTATTTTTTGGGGAAGTGAATATAAAGTGACTCATCCGAAACCACACTTTCTCTGTAACAACTGGTTGTTAAAACCTCCAAAATATGTATGAAAACAAGCTTAAGCTGTTATGCAAACTCCATCTCTGAAACAAGGTCCATAACCCACTATTAATTACTTTGTAGCGACAATATGTTCTTGTTATTTTTACTGCTTTCCACGAGAATTTATCATTTTTATATTTATCTTTATACGCGTCTTTGACATACATACGGTTGAATATTCAAAGCGTGGGAAGAAAATATTACTGTTGAGAATTATCGATTTAAATTACTAGATTTTAAACCAGTGAATATTCAAATCATTACCAATGTAATGTGCCGTCACCAAACTCTCAACACCGCCGCCACCATCACCCCGACCGACCATCCACCACAATTACGTTACCACAACTCCGGAACCCCCTACAATCACCCCTCCCACCCTAAGTCAATATTTCTTCCACAGTGGTTTAGGTAAGTTTTATTCTTATTATAAGAATCTAGCACTTTAAGTTTGATTCCTACGACACAACATATACAAGAGAGTGAGTTTTATAGGATTGAGTTCTATCTATTAATCGTCTCATTCATCTAATTTATACTCTTATTGGTTATTCTCTTTTCTCTCCCCTAAAAAGTGGGTCTCCATTTATTGTATAGAATTCAAACTCATGAGTTCAATATTGAACTCAAGAGCTCGAATCACTTTTATACTGTGAAATTTCATCCTTGAATTTCACTATTTGATTTCATATTCGTAATTGTTACGACGTGATCCTAATTTTTAACGTAAAATTTTGCGAATCTTCAAAAAAATGAAAATGTCTCTAGGCAAAGCGGAGTCATACATGGACTTTTGAGCTTGTTTTATATTTGTCCTTTTTCTTATCATATTCTAGTAGTATGTGTTGATACGAACACATGAGAAGTAAACGAAATGAAATTTGAAACTAGATTGAAGATTCTACGAGGCTCGATGGTCGATGTAAAACCCTCCCCAAATTTAGTTTGTAATTTTACAATTTCCCTAAAAGTTTAGGAACCTTGCAATTTGGTCTTCTATCCTAATCTGATCCGGACCCTCCATCTAGATTTTCTTTCTCCCTCACGCTGCCACGTGGCAGCCCATAAAACTCTCTACCTCTCTCTCTCTCTTTCCCCGAAGCTCTCTTGGATCTCTCACTCTCTCAACTCTCACTCTCTCGAAACTCTCACTCTCACTCCTTTTCCCGATCGACACACCCACCCAAATCCGTGCACCCGGACGACAACACAGCACCACCACTAACACCGGGGACTCTCGCTCTCTTCCTCCCTCCCCTCCATAAAGGTCTAGGGCACCCAGAGGAAACCCAACCCAGGTTCGGCGAACAATGGGTGTGCGAGCTCAGGTCCAGCCACCTCCGACCGTTTCACTACTAATCGCAAGTAGCATCCTCTTCTTTTTGTCTTTACCTTCGATTTCCTAGTTAGATCGTAGGGCATATGGGAGTTTTGCCAACGACTGGAGCATCGAAGGCTCCAGCCTCATTCCCTGGCGAGAAATGGGTCAGTGACCCAAGTCCAGTGAACCTAGGCCCTTTAGGCGGTGTATAGAACTCAAGCCCTAAACCCGTTTAAAACCCAACCCAACCCTTTTGTTTTATTTATTTTAATTATTTAATTTTTAAAACCCAAAGGCCCTTGGGTCATTTCCGTTAGGGCTTTAGGCCCGTAGACTCTTTTAACCCTAAACCCTGGGCAGGCTTCCAAGCCCAGGCCCGTGTGTTAGAACCCAAAAGAACCAGCCTTAGGGCCGAATGGAACTTGGGCCTCCAGCCCGTTTACCCTAAACCCTAAAACCCTTTAAGCCTAAACCCTTTGAGCCTTAGAACCCTAGGCCCAACCCAGTCCGACCCAAAACCCTTTGACCCATTGACTGACTCGATCAACGCTAATCGTTGACAGTTGACTTTGATCAGTCAACGTTGACCGTTAACTTTTGGGTTTCGTCCGAAACCCTTCTTATGCTAGTTTCAACGTCCTAGACCCATTTTTGACATCTATTTTCTCAAATTCAATTAGTTGAATAGAGTTTTATTAATTGTACCATTTATGTGCTTAGATGCAATTATTTGCGGCGAATCCGTCATTCTTATTTCGTACGACTCTACGATGATAGAGTATCTGTGAGTGGACCCCCTCTAAAATGCATGTTTTAATAGTAGAAATGCGTACATGAAAACCATGATTTAATTACTACATTTTATGAAACGTTTTATGAGATATTAGGCTTACTTAGAATCTTTTGGAATACCATATTTTCTATCGATCCCATGTTCTTTCTAGGATATCTGATGGATGATGATGTACTATTTAGAACATGCTTTTGCACACTTCTTTATAGTATAGATGATGAATGACTTTATACTATGAAGATGTTTTGAGATATATTTACCTATATTTGGAAAGACTATGTTCAATGGTTTTGTGCTTATCTAGTGGTCACTGTTCTGCCTATGGGCAATGATACTTTCATTAGGCCTTCGGGTCAAGTGATGTAAGGACCTTCGGGTCAGGAGATATTATATTAGCCTTCGGGTTGGGTGATGTAGAGGCCTTCAGGTCAGGAGATTATTATGTTAGCCTTCAGGTCTAGTGATGTAGGGGTCTTCGAGTCAATTATGATACCACTAATTAGCACACTATATACGAGATGCGTTTTATGAAAAGTTTTATAGTATGCTTGGGTTTCCAGAAAACCTTTTACATATTATATTATTGAATTTCCATAAAACTTTGGGGATTAGTATGTTGAATAAATGTTTCATTATTATTATTATTATTATTATTATTATTATCAACTTGGTCCACTTATATTTGTTTTGCATCCCCTTAGGACATAGAATTGAGGCATACAATCTCGGCGTCAAGGCACTCCCGCATCTATATCTTCAAGTCTTCTCGGTGTAGGACCCATCCTTTTGTTCATTCAATTTTATATTATTCCTTTTTAGTGTTTTATTTTAGTTGCATGCTCTGAACACGTTCCTCAATTGCATAGTAATCATATTTAGATTTATAATTCTTATTTATTTCTTGTTCTCAACATTTTCATTCAATAAATGGCTTTCGTTACCCTTAGGTGTCGGCCAGCACGTGACCGTTTTGATGTCTCACGGACATCGGGATCGGGGCGTGTCAGTCGAGAGTATTTTGTTAATTTTATCATTATTTGGAACACATGTTGTTTGTCCTTTTCTAACCTTGGTGTGTGTGCCAAAGGGACCGACCTTCCATTTTTTGTAGCTCATCTTCTCTCTCAGCTCACTCTTAATCATTCTCTCCCAAGTCTTTCTCATCTTTCTCACCTTCTACCTTTTCCAAAACCATACAGCCATCTAAACCACCTTCTTGGCCAATCGATCACCAAACCAACACCATAGCAACCCTCATCTCTTCACGAGCTCAAACATGAGCCCTAGATTGTGAAGAAATGACCATTGATTGAGGTCATAAGAGCTCTGACAGGACTAAATTTTTTTTTCGATGAGATTTCGTCTCCTTTTGTTGTTTTGGATGAGTTTTGGGGTCACCAGTTGAGTTACCATCATCCTAGAAGTCAATTTTGAGCATTGGATGCTCGGCTCCACCTCGATGTACGATAATCACACAACTTTGATTTGAGCCAAAGTTTTCCGACGAGTTTCAGGCCATCTTTGGCCTTTTCTTAGACTTTTAAAAGGTATAATTGCTACTCTCCTGGTAAGCTTCACTTTGACACAAGGATTGTGTGATTTGGTTCAAAATTAAGCAAGTTATGGCTTTATGAAGGATTCGTGCACAATTTCCCAGTTCCTGGCAAGACAAATGGCAGCAACTGCAACCAGCTCACTGGAGAGGAAGGGAAATATTCCAAAACCCAACCTGCTTGTGGCGGCTCTGGTCGGCACATAGAGGCACATACGATGGCGCATAGTCAGCAAAACATAGGCAATGATCCAAAGTGTCTTTCTAGGCTAATTTTGATGTTCTGAATTTGTTTTTGGCATTCATTCAATGTTATTATATTGTTTTAACCTAATTTCATAGTTGGCCTCCACTTAAACTTGCGATTGGTAGAGATCCAACGATTGGATCATCATGAATTTTTAGTATGTTGTAGTGGAAGCGTGATGAGGCTTTTAGGAAGTTACTAAATGGAAATTTATATACAAATCTTCTGAATTGGATTTCTAAGGTTGTTTATCCTACCTTTGACCTTTGTCTGAAGGTTGACTTTGGTCAATGTGTCCTGAATCAGTCTTGATTGTTGTAGACAACATGTACAACCTAGAATTATGTGATTTATCACAAGACTTCAAAGACGAGACTTGTGATTTGTTCTAGGCACTGATCGTGTGTGAGCATTTTGATCCTATGGTCATTACCCTAAAAAACTCCATACTAGTATACTTAATGGATATGGCATGAATTTATAAAATGCGTTTTCTACCAAATATTTCTTTTAAATTCAAGCACCGATCAAATTTTTGTGAAATTGTGAAATGTAAAGACTAGTAAAGAATCGTCAACCCATTAATATGGGGACTTGTGACATCAAATTTTTATCCTATCTAGTTCCATTGAGTTGTTCTAAGTTAGGTTCCTAGAATTTCTTACTCAGTTCTGTTGAGTGGTCCAGAACTGTGTTCCGCTTAGGTTCCTTTGAGTGGTACAGAACATTGCTTTATCTGGATTCAATTGGGTGGTTCGGAATCTCATTTCCTATTCGGTTTCATTGAGTTAGTCTAAGACCATCCTTCATTATGATTCCATTGAGTGGTACAAAATCCCGCTCCCTATTATGTTATGTTAAGTGATCCATAACTTTATCTTCATTGGATCCCGTTGAGTGGTCCGAAATTCCATTTCCTATTGGGCTCCATCAAGTGGTCCAGAACTTAATCTTCGTTGGATTCCATTGAGTGGGCCTAAATTCCTTTCCCGTTTTGGTTCTTTTAAGTGTTTTGGAACCATATCTTTGTTGAATTTTGTTGAGTGGTCCAGAATCCATCTTCCTTTATATAAGCCCTTAGTAAGCCCTAAAAGTCTTGGGCCTTTAAGTCTCTCATTGCCCCATAAATAAATGGGCTGAATATGTAGGCATGGCATGTAAGCTACTTCTCCAC